TATACATTATTATAAAAGGTGGCTTACGACGGCGGTTATGAGCTATCTCTATAAATGCATGCGATTATGAAATACTGCGCCATCGAATAATCGACAATATAAATGATTAAGGACGGCGATCATCGACAAATTTGTCTAACCTTGAGGCTCAAAAATCAAAAATAGGAGCTAAACCTACGAATAAGTCAAAGATTTGCTCAGTTGATTATGTCATATAGATCTTATGACCCTGTGTACCACCATTGTACGACTATATCAGTAACACAATATCGCCTACTGTTGTACAACTGTCGCACAATATTATTCGATAGTACTTTTTATATTATCATTTCTGACTGTCTCAGTACCGTAAGAAAAACGGAGAAGAATAAAGACATCACCTTATACGCTTCTGTTTTCGCCAAGAGTTTTAGAAACATAGGAGAGGAGAATTTTTACTTCACCAATAGCAACTTTATTAGGTATGTAATTTTAAAGCATTCTTTTTTTTTATACAAGTAAGATTGCATAATACGCATTTCACTATTCATATACCTTAGTTATAACCCAGATCACCTTTAATTCACCATTTCTACTTTTTCTTACATTAGTACTTTCCACGTTTCGTCTTTTTACACTGCATAATCTCAAGCTTTTAAGAACTTTCAGCACTTTCGTCAAAAGAACGTGCCCTCAAGATTTCAAGGTAACTACGCTTTACGTGACGTTATTCCTTGGAAGTCGCGTGGTTCCATATTAAGATTGATTTAAGTTTTTGTTAGTCAGGTGGTCATGATTTTTTTCATTTCTTTGCTTTTAACCGACGAAATATTAAAGGGAGGTGAGTCATCATACAAATGATGCTCCACAATGTCTGGCCTCCTATTAATGCATGGATGGATAGCCTCATCTTTATATTACATTGATCTTTGGATCGCCTTCATATTAGCTCTCATTTGGGCGACATTTTTAAACACCAAACTTATCATATTAAAATATTTCATTATTGATCTTATTTATATTATTGTTATTTTTAAAAAGGTTTCGATATAATCAATTCAAATCCATTTTCAAATGAATATGAATAACGACAATACACAACGAAGTTATGGCTATGATACAACACCAGACTCCAATATTCATTATGTTCCGAGTCAAACTGGGACAGATACATATAATCACCAGTCCAAACGAAGAAGAAAAAATACACTACCGGGTCAAATATCTAATGACTATCTTTCCACATTGCGAGGACCGGATCAGGTTTATGCCTCAACGCAAATTCGAGACGTGCAAACTACTGGCTATCAACACAACTCGATATCAGCGCATAATAATACTTCACAATCATTGACATTTGAAGCACCTGTGGTATGTGATTTTCTTTCGATATTTGTTTTATAACATTTGTTTTTCACGGTTTAATAATCTGTTGCTATCCTATAAGAATAATCAGCAGATAACACTTAATAATACACGAACACTATCTATCGACTCGAATAATAGTATATACGGTCAAACTCCGAAACCTTGTAAGAATATATGTATTACTATAATAATACACTATATATATTTATCAAAAATACTGATTTATTTTTATTTCGTAGTGCCTAGCTCTATTAAGATGAGCTCGGCACCGAATGTCAATCCTCAGCGTCAAATTTCACAAACCATTAATGGAATCAGTGATAATCCGAATTGGTATTATTCGGCTCAGAACAATGTTGGTCACACCAACCCAATGCTATCTAACGGTCAATTTGCGACGCAGGATCTTAACACGGATGCTATGTTTTCTAGACAACAAATGACAATGTTGACTTCAGCACAAGGTCGAGATATGCAGCAACGACCTGTTCATACGATACAATCACAGCCTAATGATCATAATTCTGTGACACAACAAAACTTGCAAGGGTGTTGGCTATTGCCACAACCTTTCTATTTTACTCCACCAATTGAGTCATCAATCAATAATACATTACAATCAGAACTACCATCGCCTACTTTTAATTCAATTCCCACAGAACCCAGAATATCTATTGGCCAAACGCCACAGTTTGGTCAACAGAGCCTCATGGAAATAGCTGATGGATTAAAGAAAAAATTAGATAAATCATTAACCTTATTAAATGAGTCAAGCGATCAAGCTACTTGGCGTAAAGTGTGTGATGATATCGCAAATTATATAAAAAATCCTAAATATAATCAAGAAATCTTTCATTTATCTGAAATTCAGAATAAACTTTATTCATGTTTAAAGGTTTTTTTGCTTAAAATAATTCATTATTCCTATTGAAGTTTATTCGTCAACCTAATTAGCCAAACTTTTTATAGCTGATACGGTTTTGTAGAGATGACTGCATGAAATTTGCAATAGACGTCTTTGAGACAGTTGTAGACAATCCACATCTCATTTCAGGAGTTCAAGGTAGTTTATGATTACTTTTGATAGCTCTAATTTCCAGCGAGATGTAGTTCACATTGCTATTTCGTCGTTTTAGTGCAGAGGCAATTTCAGCAATGGTTTAACGAGCTTTATCAAATATACAACGCTTCTCAACGGAGCATATCGCGCAATGATAAACCGCCAATAACAGTTTCCGATAGTATTTCTTCTGTTATCGGAAGCCATGGTGCACCACGAATTAGTACATGTCAGATCCAGCCGACGCGACCTGTGCGTCAGCAACAGCATTCACTATCCGTGACCCATCCAATACCACAACGACGTTCTACCAGTAGTAATATTGAACGGGTGGATCGTTCAAAATGGGCGGGTAGATTAATTGATCATGCCTGGAGTTACGGAATTTCTCCACATGACGTTCAATCATTAGTACAGCAGTCATTAGTACAACATAATTCAGCAATAATTACGATTGCAAAAGAATCAATATATATTTCCCAGGAAACATTCAACCGGATATGGAGGTAATTTGATTATCTTATATCTTTTAGGATAATGTTTGTAGGGATTGGACCCGGGATAGGATTTTTAGTACTTTCCATGAAGGATGTTAAACAGAATCGACTAAAGTTAGGTGCAGTAGAATGCTTCTGGGTTGAGTATAATGCATAGAAATACCAACCCAATGCATCTATGTTATTTGTTTTTTTTTTTTTTCTTTTTTTTTTCCTTAATAAATTCATTCTATACCCTTCTTACCCATACAGATTTTTTAGACGGGTCCAATCCCCAAGTGTTTGTGTATTTTATTATTACCTATTTTTTATAGAGAATTTAAATGAAAAAGCTGATGTATTTTTAACAGGTCAGAAACGCCAAAGTTGCCAATTAATTCTACGCCTTCACAGCTACCACTCACTTATCGTCTTATATCACGACGGACTAAAAATATTGACATTGATCCCAAAAGTGATAAGTGTGATTGGCCACCAGAAGAGGCGTCTTTTAGTATATATCTTAACAATATTCTTATCAAATTGGAACGTGTAAGTTAATTTCACGTACATGTTTTGTTGGGCTTTTCTTAATGCTATTTTTATTTTTAATTATCATAGAAACAACGGATACTTCATAATGGAGTGGAACAGTATCAAGGAGTTGACCGTCCAGTAGATGTGTCCAGATATATGACTGCAGGGTGGAATACCATTATGATAAATCAATGTGGATGTGTTTGGTGTATACGAAATTCAAATGCAAGTATCGTCATTAGGACTAGCAAAATGGGTCTAAATGCTAATTTTTTTTTTTTTTTGAATAGGAACGTGAAATATCAATTCAGGTTTTCGCATGGGAGAGTCAAGAGTTCGTATTGCGCTTAGCCAGGCTTCAAAGACTAACGTACGAACATGGATTATCAATTGGTAAATGTTTTTTAATTCGGTAATGTGATAAAATTTTATTTTGCATGTAATTTATTGGTAATGGTTTAGCCAAGGTGAAACAATCCCGTTCTGGTGGTTCCAATGGTTCTCATGACATAATGCATACTAGCCATACCACTATATCTGAAAATTTTCAAAGTAATCTTGGCCATACAATAACAACAATTGATGACGACGACGATGAGGTCACAGCTTACAAAATGACAGTAAGTCTTAAATGTCCACTTAGTATGGTACGAATTAAAGAGCCTGCCAAAGGTCTTTATTGTGTGCATATAGGGGTCAGTATCTTTTCTTTAAACAACACATTCAATTCGTACAGGATTAATTATTTCTGAATGTCTTATTGTATTAATAGTGTTTTGACCTTGAAACCTATGTCCAAGTCAATATGGTTCATACAAAATGGACATGTCCAGTGTGCAAGTAAGTGTGGTGCTTGGACATTTATGTATATTTACACGAATCTTTATTTTACTTATATGCTTTTTTCCTGTACATAGTGGTATTGTGACATCAGAAACATTACGCGTCGATGAATATTTCATTAAATTACTCGAACAATTCTCATCGTAAAGATTATTTCATTTTAATCATAAATTTTTTACTTATATAAAAAGTATTAACACTGGGTAATTTCAATATTTAGTAATGTTTCTAAAATTGCAATTGATTCAAATGGAACATGGTCTATTGTAGAGCAGGATGATAATGACGCTGAGTCGTCAGATGATGAGAATTCGAACGTAAAACGACGTGACAACAGTGCTAAAGAATCTTCTGTTACATTAATTGTGTTAGATGATGATGATGATGATGATGATGACCCTGTTCCACAACCGCAATCAGCCAATTCGTTACCAAAACAGAGTGAGAATCCACCAGCATTGGAATCATTAGCACTGGTGGCATCTGCTCAGATGCATTTACCACAACCATCAGAACCATCGTCTCATATTGTCCCTCAAATGCATATACCTTTGTTAATGGACCCATTACCCTCTCCGGATGCGAATAATGATGCGACCACTAATAATGAACTTAAAGCTCACTGCCGTACTCAAGAAGCAAACCCAAGTACTTCGACACCACCTAATGATGAAGATCCACTTAATGATGAAGATCCACCTAATGATGACGATCCACCTAATGATAATGATAGATGGGAGGAATATGAAGAGGTAGAGGTATTATGTGATTGGACAATAAATCCCTTATACTAGAAAAAACATTGGAAAGTTACTGGCCCAAATATTTATTAGCAAAACAATCTCATTACTAAGGATGATTAGCATTATTTGATCTATTTTTTCTTGCTTTGTAAACCGTTACAACTTTATTTGGGTCGTTATGGAGCTAGATACGAAATGATTAATAAATGATCCGTAGAGTACTTTGTTCTAATTCAAGCGTAATTTATAAATGTTAGATACATGAGCGGTGAGTTAATAACAATAATACAGTAAATGGAGTTAGAAATGTATGGTACTTAATTAGATCATGTGAATAGGGAATCAGAATCGAGGGTAAAATTTGATTTTTCTTTTTTTTTTTGTTTTCAATGCTAAGTCGTATTTAGCTCGTTAATTTAGGAACTATTATTTAATTTACTACTTATTAAGCATTATTAATGTAATTAGTGATATTTTAAAAATGTAAATTTTTCGTAATGATAGAGTATAAATAAATGAGCAATATTAGATTGATTTTTTTATAGAAAGTAATGTGAAGGTTATCAGTCCAAAAATCTTATTCTCAATTAAAAAAACTTAATTTTCTGTTAGGCCACGCTCAATATAACATACTAAAAAAAAAAGTTATAACTGTGATATAACATGTTATTTTGAATGTTGCCCCGAAATAATGGATAATTTTCCGAACCAAATGTTTAAGGTATATCAACTACACAAGAAAACGAAATTTAATGCAAAAGCTATTAAGTTAAGCATTACTAATAACGATAAATACAAAAAGCTATCGTCAAAGGATAAATCGCTGAACAAATATGTTTTTTTGAAGCACCTTTTATTTTTGCAGAACTATACATGTATTATGTAAAAATATGAATCATACACTCCTACAAAAAAGCCTTCGCCTACCTTAAATTATCTGTTATTAAAAATAAAATCATGAATTTTAATGGAAACTATACTTTATACACTAAATTTATAATGATTAAAAATGATTTATTTTTACAGCCAATTCACACCATCTTGCAGAAATTGATTATAGTAAGAATTAATTTTATAACAATAACCGATTGGTGTGTAGCTTTAAAACATTAACTATTGCGGGTATGACTATTGAGAGAGCTCAGATAATTTGTGAACGCTTAAGTAATAAATGACACATTTAAAATCGATATTTTTTTTTAGCCAACAAAATGAACTTTCACTATGTTTAATTAATCTAACTTTATATTTTTATTACATATTAGAGTATATAAATGAAATCTATAATCTAAATAACATTTAAGGTTTATTGAGTCCGACTATTGCGTCCAAAATATTTATAAAATGACAAGTTCTTTATAATCTAGAATATGCCTAATGACAATTCAAAATTAAACTGTTCCAAAATCATTAGTAAGACCAGACATTCTACGTTCTGATAAAATCATATAGTTTTGTTGTTCCTGAGAATCTCCGGTGTTCATAATATCTGGATGACGAATAGCAGAAAGATGTCGCAAAACGTCCTTCTTAGTGATTAAACCAAGAAGTTGTCCATTCTTGGTAACTAAAATATATCGAAGGCCCTAATGCGTTTAGAAAAAATAAATATGTATTCAAAATATGTATTTTGTAAGCGGTTCAACAAGGATTATATTTGGACTTATTTATTAAGAAACAAGAAAACTTACCATTTTTCTAAACAATTCTATCGTCATTTCCATTGGAAACTTGGGAGATATAGTAATTGGTGTCTTAAACAGATACAATAAAGAGCAAATCAATAAATACCTAATGATAACATTATGTATGAATTTAAATAAAAAATATATATAATTTACCTGATCCACCCATGGTCTAAAATCGATGAAAGCAGTTGAACCAAGTATTGGAAGATTGCTAGAGAAATAGCAGGGACTCGTTAATGAAATTCCCGGCTTCTTTTTTGCTTTATCTGCAAAATCATTGTTTACGTTGTTAATTATCAATAAATACTTGTACGTCAACGAAATGTTAACCTTACCCATTGCATATCGCAGTTCTGAACGTGATATATATCCAGTAAGCAGCATATTCTTTACATTGTTGACTACAGGAAAACCTTTATAATCTGTATCATTAAGCAGCTCATCTAAATGCACGATTTATAAAGGTTGTGTCAATGATGGTACTATAATAGTTTAACCAGAAAAAAAATGTATATCAATATTTTATACCCAAACTATCCAAAGTATGCCCTGTGGCCGTTATTACCATCAAGTCTTCTACTCGAGTCATGTATTGAGACGCTAATGTATTATATACATAATCTTCTTTGCTATCCAGGAACGGATATTCATTGATTCTTATCCATCCATCATAAATACCTTCCTTATCAAATGCATCGCCAACCCATTTACTTATCATTACTAGAGAATTTAGTAATAATATTAACAACAAATTTGTCGTAATGAATTATTTTTATTATTTCCATACCGGCAATCATAATAGGCAAAACATAAGTCAGTGCACCGGTCAGTTCAAACATAATAACAACGAGAGATACTAAAATAACATGAAGTTTTATAAAATTATTATTAGAAGAAAATCGCATTTTTTTTATCTTCAAAACAAATTCTACCTGTCATGCGTGTAACACCCCCAAAAGTAGCAGCTGCACCGACCATGGCATACATTCCTGGTGTAATGCACTCAGTATCGGGTTCGCATGATGCAAAAAGCCAAAACCCAGGATGATATCTGAAATATTGCGGTTTTTTCAGCATTAAAAAGAAAGATAAAATTTATCTTTTTGCAAATTAAAATCAATTGTATATATAATAAATAATTTACTTGTGCCAAGCATGAACAATCAGCCCAACTGCTCTGCCAAAGCAGGCACCTATTGCTATTGATGGTAACCATACACCAGCTGGAACTTTCAAACCAAACGTTACTGTTGTAAGAAAAAATTTCAAAAATGATGCAATTAAAAGCAACACAGTCGGTTCCCAGTGATCGGTATAACTTTAACACATGACATACAAACTAGTATTAGTATTTTCTGAATATAATTGTTCTGATGTTAAAATTTATACAGTCGTCCCTCCATATAGTCACCTCCCATATAAATCACATCATGTGTAATCCATGTAATCACATTTACGTTTAGGCTTAAATTTATACGAAAAAAAACCTACAACTCCTTTATAAGCACATTTTAAAAAAAATTTTTTTACTATGTGCCAATGTGATTGTATGGGTGGAAGACTGTATATTAGAAACTTACTTGCATAAATTATTTAGAAACTTACTTGCATAAATTATGATAATCCCCTCCTTCGCATTCACGGAAGAGATTCGCAACTAGTTCGGATGGATTAACCCTTTATATAGATGAGACATTATTTAAACGAAAAAACGTTATATTATATTTAGCAAGTTCCGCGAAGACGAATAATATATATGACGTATTACCTCATATAAATGTTTAAATAACTCACGATAGAAGTAAAAAAGGAAATGATTATTACTTCCTGTACACTAAAATGACGTAGCCATGAGTCTTTACGGAAAACGGCAACCTTTAGATTCATGCGAATGAACAAGGCACCATAAAGACCCTGCAATATGTGGTAACAATGGAAGGTTAAACCAGTATTTACACGATTTGACTTTTATGAATTTAATAAACGAAACATACACCCATTATACCCAATATTGAAAAAAAGATTAAATCAAATCCGTGCCATTCTCGGTCGTAAACAACCTGGAAAAGTACGAGTTTGCCTGTTCTATATGGATTCATAGACTAAGTAACGTGAATGAGAAATTATATAAAAACAATAGATAATGAAGTTTGATCAAATTAATTATATTAATGACAAAATTAACAAAGTGTAAATACAGTCGACTCTGGATATAACGAATTTCTATAACGAATTCTGGATATAACGAACTCAAAATTTCGAAATTTCATAATAGTTCGGTATAAAAAATGGCATGAGTTCTTAAGAAAACATAGTAATTTCCCCATAATGAACTTTTTTTTCTTCCAGAATCATTAGTTCGTTATATAAAGAGTTGACTGTATATGGTAATATAATCAAGGATGACCTACTGCTAGAGCTACTGCTGCAACCATGGCACAAAAGAAACTTCTCCACATAGTCCTGAATGGGAAATAATACGATACTTCCTAATTATATACACGTTAATTTGTGAAATAGTTCACAATAAAAATTAATTCATATAATTATTCTTATGTAAATAAAGATACCTCTAAACTGAATAGAACACCACCAATCGGAGCACCAAAAGCTACTGAAACACCTGCAGCCGCCGCAGCAGATAAAACTTCTCGTTTTTTAGCTATAAAAGATGCAAATTCACTTTCAGCATTGAAATTAAACCTAGAAGCGTATTATGAGATGCTGACAAATAGGTATTACATATATTATCTTACCTTCATTGTATCTGAATTTGGGAAATATTTGGGGAATGATGTTTCCACAACAACAGGCTAAATGAATTAACGGACCCTCTTTGCCTAAACATAGGCTTGAGGCAGCAACAAGGCACTAACAAATGTTGAATGTAAATTCAATAATGATCTAATCATGTGGGTTTGTGGAAGAGAAGATTTAATAACTTACCACGCCTATACTCTTGATAATTAGAGTCCACCAACCTAAAAATTTCCTGATAACAAAACCACCAAGAATAGTCTTGATTTCAGGTATACCACTACCAGGAGAATAAGGAGAATAGCATTTTACAAGGTAGGCCGCTATTGTAGCAAAAGTTGTCTGAAAAAGTTGGGTGAAAATTAAGTTATGAAATCAATTAATTTTTGAAAATAGCATCAATCAATTGACTTACAGAAAATATTATATAAAATAAGTAATTTGTCCAAAATTCGGCAGCCGCTGACTTGGCCTGAAGCGCTGTAGTCCATCTAACCCATTCTACGCATGAAGCACGATCATCTAAAAATTTGCAAACATTTCCGAATTCAGCACTTTATTGGATACTATCAAAGTTCTCTCGGAATATTAAACAATAATATTGACAATACCATCATAACCCCAACAACAATTTTTTCTATTTAAATAAAATGCGGTTTTACAATAGCCCTCTTTTATATCACTAAGCCATTCCGACGTTACGTCAATAACAGCAGCCAGAATTCCTGATGTCACACCTATAAATTTAAGGAATCATAAATGTAAACAAAATTAGGGTTTAACCCTAAAATTTTTAGATAATTAGTCAAAGAAAAATAACATGCCAACAGCTAATACAACGATCCAACCCTCCATAGCGTCAAAAATAAGCCTCAATTGGCCTCCTATACCCTTTTGTTGCCGTAAATTTTTCTGGCGAGCACGCTCTTTAGCAAAA